TCTTGGATAAGGCAATAAGCTATCTAGAATATCAGAGGTTGGGGGCGGGGAGGACACACCCCTGCCCTTAAGCTACCAGACACAATGTGCTCCTCAAGACAAATAACAGCCACTATGTCACGTTCTCTGTATCTCCAGGCAACAAGTCTTTGACACCTATGAGGTGCCAAGAGCTGTGCGAGGTGTGAGTGATACAGCATGATATCTACCATGGTGCCCGGCAAAAGGTAGGGGGCAGTTAAATGCTGGTTGATGTATGTCCACCTGTATGAACAAACATGGAGGCAGCTGAAAAACTGTGCAATGTTCAGCTAGAAGAGACGCCTGAACAGGCAGATGATAACTGGTTCTTACAACCAGAGCTGCCCTGCTGTGTGTAACCCAGTGTGCTTCCTCCTCACTCACTGAAGTGCAAGCAGAGACTGCACTGTCAGATGCTGAACCGGACTCTCAAGAGTGGGGCGCAGGGAGAGCTGCCAAGATGACCTTTGTGGTCTTCTCTAAACTGGAGACTCTATTCATCTGTGCCAAATAGGGAGAGATGAAAAATCATGGAGGGGAGGGTCCAGAGAGGCACAAACTGCCACAAGAAAGGAGTGCTACAGTTTGGCAATGCTCACTGGGACGAAAGTGGCACACGAGATTGAGATGAACAGGAAGTGAAAAGATGCGCAGTTCTCAATCCACGGGTGTGGCACATTTGCTGAGCCTCCAGGCCCACCCTGACCAGCTGCGCTTCTCCCAATGCCTCCCCCTACCCTCGGTTCTTACCAAGACAGAAGCCTCCTGAGGCATCCTCTGGCATCCATTTTTCCCCCTGTCCCAGCTGGGAAAATGTATCTGGTTTGGGTCCTAAGAGTCCTGTTTTTGAAGGGGAAAAAAACAGAGATCACATCTGCTCATACCAAAGATATAAAAACCACTGCAAGAATGAGACCTGATCCTCAGAGCTTCCTGGAAAAAGTGACTTGATAGGAAGGCCCAGGTGGAGACGTGTTCCCAGGAAGAGGAAAAGATGGCTTGGGCTTGACACAATCTCTTCCCATGTCACTCTCCCTGCCTGAAAAGAAGGAGAATTCAACTCCTACCTACTTTTGAGGTATGTGCACGTAGACTCCAAAAGAATCCTGGGACACCAGCGATAGGCAGGAGGCAGCCTTGAAGACAACATCCTCAGTCCACCCATTTCCAACCCAATCTTCTATGCGGTCCCAAAGAGAATACCAAAAGTGAAGATAAGCCTTCTGAGGCTCCCCACCTTACCTAGGGAGACCAGGTTGCTGTAGTTCTCCAGCATCACATCCCTGTACAGGGCCCTCTGGGCAGGGCTCAGCTGCCCCCATTCTTCCTGGGTGAAGAGCACAGCCACATCCTTGAAGGTCACTGATCCCTGTAACAGCAAATCCATTCTCACTGACCAGGGGCTACCCTTCACCTGGTTCTCTGGGAAAGGCTGGGGCTGGCAGCCCCTAGGAGCTCGTGGAGTTTGAGGGATGTTGGCATACGGGGAGCTAGTATTCTGTGACAAGTTAGGCATTTCCCCATAGTCTCCTAGGGACTTAGCTTTGTGTTAGACTTTGTTCCCTCCTTTGAAGAGACACATGCTATAGCGAAGATATGCTGCTTTAGCACTGGCACTTCACACTTGCTGTTCATTTTGCCCGGAACATTTTCTCCCACTTCCCTCAATCTGCCAGCCCTGCCTCTACCCCCTACCCCATATCACCAAATCCTACTCAAGTCTCAGCTGAGACATTATTTCCTCAGGACAGCCTTCCCTGACCACTCCTACAGTCACCAGTCACCTGTGTGGGCCCATCAATGCATTGTCCCCCCCCCCCCCCCCCCCCCCC